AAGGCAGCGCGGGGCAGCGGGGACAGGGTGGAGGGGTCCCGAAGGTTTCCAGGCTTTTGCCTGGAAGCCTTCGGGATCCCCCACCCACCCTGTCCCTGCCAGTTTTTAGTCCATTGGAACGCATTAACCAGGTTTTAATGCGTTTCAATGGGCTTTTTAATTTCGCTTTACGATGTTTCCGTATAGCGATGTTAATCCTGAAACGGATTAACGTCGCTATACGGGGCACCACTGTATAGTCACCAAATTGTACAATTTTATAGGGCTCGTATATGTGATTAATAGAAGAACATGTATCCATGATCAAGTCCATACTCTCAATTAAACACTTAAGTGAAAGCAACATCATGTTGGGGAAAAAAACCACAAACAGCACCTGGCAAGTTCATGACAACAGAAAACACTCCAGTGTTAACTAGATTACAAGAACAGCTGGGGCACTATATACCAAAAATGCCCATCCTTTCAAAAAAGGCACAGAAGGTACTACATAAACAAAAGCAATTATTTTTGTCTCTGAAATTACAAAACAGTCATAAAAACACTCTCTTTTCTACTAATGATCCTCCCTCTCCAAATCAAGAAACAAACCAAGAGCTTCATTTCAGGGTTATCAGACATCACCTGAGAACACACAAACATTTGGGAAAGTATACTATTAAATGATTAGTAAATGACATTATTTGTCCAAGTCTCCTTGGCAAGGACATGAACAGCTGAACACACTTGGGAGATGGGTGCCAAACTCCTCCACAACAGTTGGTGCTCCTGGCTGAAATCAGACCTCCTGTCGCAACAAAGGCTTTGAAGATAGCTCAGGCCAACTTTTACTCCTTACTTCCTTTCAAGTTCATTTGGGGTCATTTCAGCTCTACAAAAATAGAACATTTGTACATCAAGAGGCACAGGAACATTCCATAAGTTTGTTCTCTCTGCTAGAGTAAAAGGTGTTCTTTATGGTGATATACAACAAATATTTTAAAAAATTGCACTATAAGTAATCTTACTTCTTGCCATGTTATCTATGCTTTTCCTCTTGCATTACTGGTCTCTTTCTATGAGAGCTTCTTGTCATCACTCTAGGACCACTTTCTATAACTGCAGCTAAGAAATAAATCAGCATATGGCGAGGTGTCCCAATCTTCATTTTCAAAACCAGTCAAGATGATACCTGGGCCCAAGCCTCATCATGATGAAAAAATCATGGCTTGCCCACAGCAGCTGATTGACAACATACGTTCTCAAGTTGTTCACAGAGGCTGTGTATGGTGAAACACAAGCCAACGGCACTTTACTGTTTAGAGCTTGCATGTCTTCTCAATGTGTTTGTTTTAAATATCATCTTATTTAAAGGTCTATGTAGGGCAAGGATGGGGACTTGTCCAGATTGTGTGGGAATATCTCTCCAATCATCCTTGATGAATAGGCCTGCTGGCTAGAGCCACAATTTTCCTACAGTCATCTGAATAAGTATGTACATTCACAAAAATATTCACAAATATATTTTGTGGGGTTTTTTTAATGGGGCATGGGAATGTTGCAAAAATGGTCCAGGAAGCAAACAATATATGACCTACACCATTATAAAAATACAACTAGTGAGGGCTTTTGTAATTTGGAAGCTCTGTGTTTGCCACTCGATGGAAATAATTCATATTCAGTGCATCAAACATTTGGAGAGGAAACATTTGCAAATATGAGTTTGCTTGTATCAAATTGGCAGTAAGCAGTCAGAGGAAGCCTGTTGTAGGTGGCTAAAATAGCTGACCTCAAGTAAGTGAGCAACTTGCCAGCCATTCCAAGAGTTAACAACCCCCAATAGCAACCTGAAAGCAAATCCTCTGATGGAATGCAGCTAAAGTTCCATCATGTAGTCAAATAGATAGAACTCTTGGGAAACAATCCAGAGGCATGTTCCAGTACTGTACAGTGGTGCCTCGCTTAACGGGCGCTCCGTTTAGCGACGAAACCACATAGCGATTAACTTTCTGCAATCGCAAAAGCGATCGCATTGCGATGTTTCCTATGGGGTTTTTTTGCTTTGTGATGATCAGCTCCCTGTTTCGCTTATCGATCATCGCAAAGTAATGATTTTTTAACAGCTGATCGGTGGTTCCAAAATGGCCGCCAGGTAAAAAAAATGGCTGCCCACTGTGTTTTCGCGCCAATTCCTCGCTTTAGAGGCAGCGAAAATGGCCGCCATATGGAGGAACTTTGCTTTAAGGTCAGTTTTTTGCCGATAGGAATGCATTAAACAGGTTTTAATGCATTTCTATGGGCTTTTAAAAATCGCATAGCAACGAAATCGCTTAGCAGCGATTTTTGCTGCACAGATTAATGTCGCTATGCGAGGCACCACTGTATATCCATTACATACAATCAGAAGTCAATTTTAAATCACTTATCATAAACCTTTTTTTGGGACAATTAATTCTAGATAATTTAGTATTTATATATCTACACACACACTAAAAAAAGCCAGTAAGACCAAATAAGGTAGTCTTGATTTACTGAGGTTCTTCAAAACCCATGGGTGACATTTCAGTAGTTAACTGTTTTTCCAGCTCCAGCATGTAAGGTTTATACTCCTCTTCAAGCTTTCTCTTCCAGATTTTAACTAGAAAGAAGAACATTGAAGTTACATATTCTCAGACTAGGAAATACAAAAACAAATGTGAGTGGTGGCACTTACAAACAATGTAAAAGTAAGAGGTGGGAAAGCAACCTCATTAATTCTTATACTATAGTCTTGAGGAAACAATACGGTACGGTGCACTCGTTAAGCGAGGCACCACTGTACTTATTAATTTTCATACTACAGCCTTGAGACAAACCATAATGTGGAGGCAAATTCCCTCACCTGCCTCAAATCTTGCAAGAGTTTTGTCAAGCACTAAAACGCCTCAAACAACCAGCCATGGGGGGGGGGAGTGCTTTGTGTTTTCAGACTGCAAACCCCACAATTCTCCAAGAATTCCGTTAAGCGAGGCACCACTGTACTTATTAATTTTCATACTACAGCCTTGAGACAAACCATAATGTGGAGGCAAATTCCCTCACCTGCCTCAAATCTTGCAAGAGTTTTGTCAAGCACTAAAACGCCTCAAACAACCAGCCATGGGGGGGGGGAGTGCTTTGTGTTTTCAGACTGCAAACCCCACAATTCTCCAAGAATTCCCCAGGCAGAATTCTGGGATTGGCAGCCCACAAACGAAAATCCAAAGACCCAACACACACACACACACATTCGAGAAGGGCTTTCGGCTTATTTTATCTCCAGCACTGCAGCTCTCATCATAAGCTGCCTTCTGAGGTCTTTGGTTTCTGTTTTTCAAGTTAAAAAAAGGCAGGGGGATTGCTTCCATAGCGTTTCTTGAAGAATGTTGTGTGGTGGTTGACTGACTTACTTATTTGTCATATTTATAAGTTGCTTTTCTCCCAATAAGGCAGTGGTTCCCAACTTTTTCTGAGTCATGTTCCCCTTTTATAATAACCAAGTAACTGTTGACCTCCCCCATGTTTGCATAAAAATGCATTTTTATGGGGTAAAGTCATCCCTTCTCAGAAAGCAGAGGCTTCTTTCTCCCCCCACCCCACAAAAGAGCCTGTTTCTTATATATACACATACACACTAACTTTAATATCCCACTCTGAAAGCTCAAGGAAAAAACGATTAAACAAGGGCTACAACACATATAAGGTGATCTGCGACCCCCAGTTTGGGAAACCATGCAATAAGGGGACACAAGAAGGCTTAGAATATTAAAAAGAACAGAATTAAAAAATAAATAAATTATACATTGAAAAACAATTAAAACTATAAAGCTGATTAAAAGACATTGAGTAAATAAAAACACACAACCTTAAAAATAAGTAAAAAAAGGAATAGCTTCCTCAGAATAAACATATTAGTTTGATAGGAGTCTCCACCCTACAGCCTATATAAGAAAAGTGGCACAAACCAGTGGGTAATCCAAAGAAAATTATTATTAGAATTAAACATTAACAGCTGAAGTACAAGTGAACACTATGCAAACAACAGCAGAAATTGCAAATAATCCTTTTCACCCATTCGACTACATAAAAGCAGGAAGAAATAGTTTTTTCACTCCTCCCAGAGGTCGCATCAAAACTAGTACGAGGGGCTGCTGATAAGTATTTAGCCTTTCCCAGAAAAAATTGAGCCAGGAAGCTGTAACTGCCACACTATTCTACATATCCCCAGAGGAAGTCAATGCACTTGCGACATCTGTCCTGCACCTTCTTCGTCATCATTTAGTCATGTCTGACTCTTCGTGACCCCATGGATCAGAGCACGCCAGGCCCTCCTGTCTTCCACTGCCTCCCGGAGTTGGGTCAAATTCATTCTGGTAGGTTCTATGATATTGTCCAACCATCTCATCCTCTGTCGTCCCTTTCTCCTCTTGCCTTCATACTTTCCCAACATCAAGGTCTTTTCCAGGGAGTCTTCTCTTCTCATGAGATGGCCAAAGTATTGGAGCCCCAGCTTCAGGATCTGTCCTTCCAGTGAGCACTCAGGGTTGATTTCCTTTAGAATTGATACGTTAGTTCTCCTTGCAGTCCAGGGGACTTCTAAAGAGCCTCCTCAAACACCA